GTAGGGTGTTTGGTTATCTTCAGATGATGAGCTCTGAGAGCGTCAGCAGGTTTTGTATAAACACAACTGATGGGTCTGATGGAATGTCCATGGATTATGGTCAGCTCTACCTGAAAGGAGTACCCTTGATGTCTGTATAATAGTAGTCATTTGTCATCACCAAAACCCGTTTCTAGATTGAAAAAAAAGAAGAAGAAGAAGAAGTCATAGAGAAAAGAAAACACAGTTAGTCTGCTAGGTGAAGTTTTCAGAAATCAATAAAAATAAACGGACAGGCAATGATCAGGGTAACAATACTGCATGCATCTTGTTTGAGATAAGTAAAGACGAGAAAAATGATCTCAATGAAAGATATTTATTCCAGATAGAGCGTTCAAAGCTAATTTTTCACAGTGGTTTGTTTTAAATTAAGCGGCAAGAATGTTTGAGAAAAATGTACCCCTTTGTCCACGGTCTTCTTCACCTCCATGGAAAACTTCCCTGTCTTTCGATTCACCATGGCGTTTCTTAACTAGAACAAGAAAAGAAAATTGGTGTGTTAGGTCTTCCCCGGTACCATGTAAATGGGATTTCTTGAATCCTTGGTTTGGGAGCACTTTTGGGGGCTTATGAAAAGCCAAGCGATGATGGGGTCGGGGAGGGAGGTTTCCGATGACTCTTAGGTATTTTTGCAGGTAAATCTGCAGGTTGCACTCAGCACTCTAAACAGAGCTTCTGAAGAATAAATCACCACTGCTCTTACCCAATGGGAGAGAGGCTACCCACAATAACAACTTTCAACTTCACTCTGCGACGCTCCCGCAAACCTCAGGGCAGCAACAACAACAATAAAAAAGCTGAACAACACCACTGACTCCTGAGAGTCAGTAAAGGAACTTCTGGCAAACTGCTAAAGCATTCGAGAAGCAAGACTGTCTCTGGGGACAAGTGACATTTTCAGAAAGGGTACTGATTTGTCAGGGAGAAGTCATTTTTCAAAACGTAATCAAGTTAGAGATGTTTTCCTACACAGTAGGGTTTTTTTTTTTTTTTCTTTTTAAAAAAGCTAACCATTTGGAAGGCAGGGAATAGCTTCTCATAGCATGAATCATCTTCAAATGCTCTCTGAGAACCCCAGACCAATTAATGGACTCACTGACGGGGCAGTGAACAGGAGCGACCCTGTATCTGACTTTCGGAGGTCCCGTCTAGGAGCGGTGAGCCTGGCTCTCCTCTCCCTCCCCCTGGCTGACCTCAACTAATTACGTGTGGCCCTTTCATGAGTTCAGAGGTGGATGGGAGATGGAGCGATGAAAGACGTGCTGTCGTGGGCACCGGCGAGAGACTACGGGGAAGGCCATTTAATGGGACAGGAGCCAACAGGGACATGCCACAGCCTGTCAGGACAGGCTCTTTTCAGTCCCATGTTGGGCTTTTTATCCTTTTCCCGCCTTTTGCCTTTGAGGACCCTGAGTAAGATGTGGCCGATAGCAAACTGCAATGCTTGCAAACAGCCTAAATCTGATTCGGGGCTGTCTAGATTTGGGTTTGCATTCCCATCTTCTGGGAGAGAGAGTAAAAGCATAATTTTTAGCTGGAGGCATGTATAAAATAAAAGATATATTTTACTCTAGATATTTTTTTAACAACACATAATGGGCAATTCTGGAAATATTTTCCCATTTTAACTTTTGTGGTTTTGGATGGGGAGAGCTGGTCTTAATTAAGTCTTACTTTCTAACTTTTAAGCACGGCTCGATTTATCTTTAACATGGTTTTCATTTTTCCTCTTTCTGGTGCCTGCCTAAAACCATTTGGGACCTTCCCCTCTCACACTGCCCAGGCAAGTTAGAGATTAGGCAAACCTCCCCATGTCTCCATGCCACCCTGCCCCCGACGCCCAGTGTCACAGAATGAGCAGCCACGGGCCTGGGACGCTGCAAGGCCAGGGACGTGATGCCTCTGGGAACCAAGGCTTCCATGATAAGCCTAGCTTTGCCCTTTTCCTACCTCATCATGAAAATAGATTCTATTTGTTGAATACCTATTTATGAGGCAAGATGACACTGTCGTTAAAGAACTAGACACCGGAGCCAGGACTGTAGAACCTTGGTTAAATCGCTTACATTCTCCGTGCCTCAGTTTCCTTGTCTGCAGACGGAACTAAGGACAGCAGGCATCTCGCTATATTGCCGTGAGGATGAGATGAGTCAGGATTGACAAGCATGCCTGGCACACCCTAAACACTCAGTGTTGGCTGACCTACGCCGTCCTCCTCGGCGGTGGCATCTGCATCTCGCTCATCTTCGTGACGGTCCGCCACCCTCCCTCCCCACACACACACACACTTCATGTTAGACACCTTACAGTAGCTTAAGGAAGCAGGACTCAAACTGGACTGCCTGAGACAGATGCCCATGCCCTAAGCCAACGTTTCTCAGACTTTTTGCATTGCGAGTCCCGGAACAAATATCTTATTCTGGTGATGCCCACCGTAGCTCTATTTTATTTGTTGCTTATAAGCCATGAAGTGGATTTTGTAACCTCTCCCCCAACTCCCTGGGTTGATGATGGCTGCTCTTAACCAGCGCTGGGTTGATATAGACCACAGAGGAGGCAGCTTACAGTGAAGGCGGTAACCAGGATATCAAGGCTCCAGCTTTGCCACTGACACAAACCAGCTGTCCTGCGACCTCTCTGGGGCTCAATTTCTCCACCTTTCATTCATGTGTCATAATGTTCCTGAGGGAGAACTCCCAGACCCCGGGCATCCTATCTGGTAGTAGTCAGCAGATTCTGATAGATCCTGTCCACTGAGCTCTCACGATTTATCAGGCACAGGGTTTAAAACCCTCAAAATTATCTTCAAAGGTATTATCATCAACCCTATCTTACAATTGGAGAACAGAGGCACAGGGTTAAGAAACTTGCCCAAGGTGATAATACAGGCTCTGTCTCTTAAAGCCATGCCTTTAACCTCCTTATTCCAAATCAGGGGAGAAAGTACTAGAACAAAATTAAATAGTTTCTAGTATTTAGTATAAAAATAATATGTTATTATTTCTGGATTCTTTTTAATCAAAGAAAATGTGGTTTCGTTTTTAGTTTCTTTCTCTCTTCCATGCGAGAAGAGACAGAAGACAGAGAAACAGGCACCCCAATGGGGGTCTCACACTGTAATCTGCCCACAGTTTCCACCTGCTCAAATTATGAGTGCACGCTTGCTTGCCACTGCAGCACAGCGGGGCCTACAGAAAGTGTGGGACTTGGGGAACTAAGAACCTTCCTCTCTCTCCTGGGCCCTGCCTTATCTAGTTCAGGCATGCTGCCCCAGAGCTCTTGGGGAGTCTGTCTCTCTTCTGTAATGCTGAAACTGAAGCTGCTTCGAAAGTGTTCAGAGCATCCTAGGAACCATGTTCCAGCCAGGCTTCCTGTTCCACCGAGAGCCCACTGCTCTGGCCTCCTGTGTGAGAGCTTCCTGAGGAAAAGTGCCCCAGAGACCGCTGGCCACCTTACGTTAGTGTGTAATTATACCTGATGGCTCATTCTCCTAAGAGGGCTTGGTGTCCACCTTAGAACAGGCCTCACCTTTTTCAGTGCAGAGCAGCACTTCCAGGCCCCAGTGACATGCAATTAAAAGGGGCGGGGAGAAGCAGGGGGTACGCAGGCCCTCCATTCCCAAGCATGCACTCAACCAGCATGGGAAGACATGGACACAGAGCTTCTGAGCAACAGAACCTTCGCTGTACATCAGCCTGGGCTCCCGGGGGGTGGGGTAGCTGCACTTGGTTTGGTGGGGCCAGGGCTCGAGCATGAGCTGGAGCAGCATGAATAGGGTGAAGGAAAACAAGTGAAATGTCCAGAGAGCTCAGAAATATGGTTTAGGAGGAGAGGGCCATCGTGCTTTGGGAAGAAAGGGCTCAAGGAAGTTTTGTATCCTAGTCGTCGCATGTATGAAGTATCGTGGGTTGACTGGAAGAGGCCAGAAAAAAGGCGTACATGACAAGAGAGGGATTTCAGCTGGATCCAAGGTAGACAGGAGCAGTGATCCCAACAACACCACGTGGATAAACGTGGGTTTAGCAACTATGACATGTAAAGCAGCCCCATCCCTGTCTCCCTCCAGGAAGGACAACCTATACACTATGAAGCACTGAAATGGTGTTTTCAAGGACTCCCAAACTCAAGAACTAAGAGCTCTTCATATGGCATACTGAAGTGTCAGGGTCAGTTTGGGGGGGCAGACAGATTGGGTGGAAATTTATACTGTGTCGATCCCCTTAGACCATGGCACCCAGTCTTCATTTCCTTACCTGCAAAGTGGGGAGAGCAACAACAGGGTGTGTACAGGTATAGCACCCAGAGCAGCTCTGGCATACAGGCAGAGCTCCATATACAGTAGTTACCATTATGCATATGAGTTGTTCTCTTTACAGAAACACTCGTGTGCATTGGACAAAGTTTGAGAATGACCAAAAGGCAATAGGCACAGCTGTGAGGATGTGGAGAAAGGGGCACTCTTTTATCCTTTTGGGGGGGAAATAAATCAGTATAGCCAGTATGGGAAACAGTATGGAGGTTCCTCAAAAAATAAAAAGGAAGCTGCCATATGATCCAGTAACCCCACTAGTAGGTATATACATGAATGAGTACATCCTAAAAATATCTATGCCCGATGCTCATTACAGCTTTATTCAGAATAGCCGAGATGTGGAATCGCCTACATGGACTCACCTAAGAGTCCATCAACAGATGAACAGGTAAAGACAATGTCATGCACATGCACTGGAATATTATTCAGCCATTAAAAAGGAGGAAATCTTTTCACTGATATTAAATGGGCAAGCCTGGAGGACATCATGTTAAGTGAGGAAGAAATATCATATGTTCTCCCTCATATATGGAGATTTTAAAAAAATGATGTCACAGAGGGAGAGAAAAGAGGAATGATGGCTAGAGGCTGGGGTTAATGGGGGTGATGGTGGGTGGGGCTGTGGACAGAAGGGGGGGTGTTAACCAAGAGGAACGCAGTTATAGGTGGATGAGAAACAATGTCTGGTATTATAAAATACAATATAAGCAGGCAGCGTATAAATGATAACAACTTGCTGTGTATCTCAAAGTAGTTTAAAAAAATTTGAAAAAGAGAGAGATTTTGAATGTTCCCAACATTGGTAATGAGAAAGGGTTGAAATGAGGGATATGTTAATTACCTTGATTTAATCATTACACATTGTATTCTTATACTGAAAAAAATCACGTTGCACTTCTGTGAGTATGCATAATTATTATATCTTAACCAAAATATCAAAAAAAAAGTAATAGGAACAAAATGAAAAGTATCCTTAATTCCTTCAGCCATCTCTGGGAATAAGTGAATGAGTTACTTATTTTGCCGAGGGTGTGTGTACTCAGTGGAGAGAAAGAGAGAGAAGAAAAGTGAGAAAGTACCCCCCGCCCGGGGATGGGTCATGCCACAATCCCTTCTCCTCCATTTCTCTCTCCTTTTGGAATTTTGGGCACACACATAAATGCCCGGTGTATTTTTCAAGTTGCCGGGTCCAAGATGGAAACCACAGTCAGCCATGCGGGATTTCACCGCCTTAATCACCATGCCACCAGCTGGCCCAATGAGAACTATTTCTAGGGGGCCTGTAGGTGGTGCAGTGGTTAGGGTGCTGGACTCCCTCATGGCCGACCATGATTCAAGTTCTTGACCTGGAGACTTGCTTCCTCCCTTCCCCCCTCTCTCTCTCCCTCCTTCTTTGCTCTCTCTGGTCAGACTAAAATAATAGTAATAAAAAATAAAGTTAAGTAAATAATTAAAAATACATATTTCTAAGCCCGGATTACTGAAAGGAGCTTTTAGTTCCCTGAAAATTAGCTGGGGCACAGGTGCTAAGTAGAGTGAGCCCAGGCGCAGATCTTGTCCAGTAGCCTGGGAGGGAGGAGGGAGAAGGTCGGCTTGGTGTTAGTCAGTCCAGGGCATGTTTCCTGGACGTGGGACTCTGAAGAAGCATGGCTGACGTAATCAAGGCTGCTCTCCATATTAATTACAATGGGAGATAAGTGGTGGGAAAGGACATTAATGACTTGCCTGCAGCCCTCTGGGAAAGAAAACAAACAAATCCAGAGGTCAAAACAAATAATGATAAAACAATGGAAAAAGCAAAGAGGGAAGAGAAAGGAAAACAGCGGAAGGTACCCTTCAAGGATTCATGAGACCAAGTCGGCAAGTGCAGGTCCACGGGACATTCACACGTGAGAAGGTCGCGTGAGGATTCACGATGATGATGAGAATAACAGGAACTACGGCTGCCACTCACAGAATGCTCACCTGGCCCAGGCAATGGTATAAGCACTTGCATATCTTTCAATATATAAATACATTGAACCCTCACAACAGCTCCAGGAGGAGGACTTAATACCATCATTCTCATTTTAGTAGAAAACAAAACAAAAGGAAAAAACAGAACTCATTGATCGCTCACCAGAGATTAAGAGCGAGCAAGCAGTGAAGGTGGGACCTGAACCCTGGCAGTCTGTCCCCTGAGTGACGCTCCTCACAGCTGTGCTAGGTCAGGGACAGTACACTAGGTGCGGTACAAGCTAAAGACCCTGGTGAGATCCTCCTGACAATGTTTAAGGTGCAGGAAGACCTCGAACTCTACCAAGTCACGGAACTGCCGTGACATCAGGCCATGGGCGAGGGGAGGAGGAGTGCGGATGAGCACGGAGCAGTTCCCGAGTGGCAGTTACTTGGTCTGAACTTGTTTCTTCTTCAGCCCTCCATTCTGAATTGTTTTCTTCTTCAGCCGTAGTGCAGCTGAAGAAGAAAACAGGCTGCATTTCTAAAATAGAGAAGACTCTTGCATTTTACAGGAAAGGAAGAAAGACCGAGATTTATGCTCACTGAGACAGCCTGAGAGCAGAGGAGGTGAAAAGGGAAGGCTGCACTGAGGAAGCCATGATGTGGGCCCTGTTTCTAGAAGGTAGGAGACCTCAGCCTTGGATTTCAAAGAATTTCCTCAACACCGAATTGGAAAGCAGGACAGGGTGAGAGATAGAATTGATGCACCAGACTGATCAGGGGAGTGGGACAGAGGAACAAGAATTTGGCACAGAGACACCCTAAGAAAAAGGGAAGAAGAGTAAGGACCCAGACAGGAACACCTGGGAAGTGACAATTCAATTCAGGACGGTCCGCCTGGATTCATGCAAAGGCAGCCGTGTCTAACAAATCTGATTTATTGAGGAAGTAACGAGACTTGACAGGGTTCAGTTGTGGGCACGAGGAAAGCCTTTGATTCAGTACCAAAGGCTGATGTGTGTGGGGAACAGCATGGCGTGCTACTGCGTGGGCAGGGGAAAGGCTGAGAGGGTGCACGCAGGAAGTGGGCAGCTAACCAAGCAGGGGGAAAGCGGGCCTACAAAGTCCTGGGCTGCTCTCTGAAAACAAGAGCAGTGCCCATGAGGTCCTGCCAGCCAGGTGAGCTCCAGCTGCCCAGAAGTCTGCTTGTTTGGTCTGTAAGTGCCTGACCTCACATTGGGCAGGGCCTCTTATTGCCCGGGCAGACTCCACCGATGGTGGTGGATCTTTAATTGCACTGGAGAAGAAGTTGAATGGATTGGCTGCAGAGGGCACCAGAGCCTGAAAGCGGATGGTTTTAGCCAGCAGCACCAACGTGGGGGTGGCTGGCCCGTCTGCAGCTGGTTGGACTGACCAGCAGGAAAGTGATAAAGTTGAAAACACAGTAAAAGGGCTCCTCGTCTCCCCACCCCTCTAGTGGCCAGGTGTCTCTCAAGCGAGCCTCTTGGCTCCTGGGGTAGCCTCCAGGTACAGATGCAGGTCCAGGGGAGCTCCCTCACCACAGACTGGACGATGAATCACTCACCACATCATCTCGGTCTTCCCACTCCACCTCAGAAAGGTCAACGCTACTGTAGTTGGGTTTCCTTCGCTTTTTTCCTTCTTCATACTATTAGGGGAAGAAGAGGGGAAAAAAAAGTCCATGAGATGACCATCCAGGGCAACCTTGATCCTCCCAAGTCCTGTTTCACAGCAAGGGGATTTCAGAAAGTCTGGGGAACATGGAATTAAAGTATAAGTTTATTTGGGTGCAAAAAAAAAATTAGAAACACATGCATGGTCTCTTCACAATACACATTTCCATAAGCATTTGGAAGACTCCTCGTGTAAGTCAACTCTGCGTGACGTGAATTTACCTAGTAGACTCTCTGGTTCTAAAACCACCAGGTAGGAATGAAAGGTTTGTCCCCTCCCTGGCTGGTGCATGTGTAACACAGGGAGACACTCTTATTTCAAAGCTTCTAAAATCTCTTCCTGACATAAGAAAGGGCTTCTTACGTATATTTAACAAAAATCTAGTCATATGCCCTACAATTTTTTTTTTTTTTTTTTTTTTTAGGTTTTTGCCATAGTGCATGTACATTCTCCAGAAGGGAACAGTGAGATAGAAAGTGAAAAATCATTCCCCGGGGAGATGGCCATGCCACAATCCCTTCTCCTCCATTCTCCTCCTGGGACGTGGGGCATGCATGCACACATGCCTAGCCTGATTTTTAAGCTACTCGGTCAGGGACACAAACCAAGGTCGGCCACGTGGGAGTTCAGCATATTAACCACCGTGCCACCTACTGGCCCACCCGAGTAATTCTCCACCCTACCTTCTGTCTCAAACTTGCTAGGAAACAAAAGCATTGATCTTCCCAGCCAGTGTTGGGCCCAGCACCCTGGTAACATGCGGCAGACTCACAGAACCTTCTATTTGCTGTCACACTGGCCACGGCGGTACTGAGCTAAGCATGGTGACTTCACCTAGGGTAGATGGGCTATTGAGAATCACTGACAGATTTAATGGCCATGAACACATTTCTCTAGGAAGGCTCATGAGTACATTAGTAACTGGGGAAGTAGTTTCAGCTTTTTCCCCTAAATCACTGCTATTAGTCACCTCTGCAAGCTACTATTTTATCAAGCGGATGTTCTTGCGTCTGGATGTTATATCTTGAGGTCTTTAATGTTGGTTGTGAGGATGTTTATAATGTAGGAAAGTCTGCCCTCTGCTGTAGGCTGAGGATAAGTAAGCCCTATATGAGTTTGTAAGATACGGTTAATAGCACATTGGGGGAAAAAAATATACATATATATGTATGTGGAAGTCTGTATATTGTGTTCTTTTTTGGTTCTGTCTCTAGATTGCTCATACTGTTAATGAGATGCAGGATTGATCTAAGTGTGTTAAGACCCCTAAACCACAGGTCGCCATCTTGGACAAGGGCTGGCTACTATGGAGACAGGAGAAAGGCGTGCAGGCCTTGAGCCAAGCAAGTTAAACGGGTGCTCAGGGGAATCTAGCAGAGACCAGCCAGAAGAGAGAGCTCTCGCGATGCTACAATGTTAGAACATGGCCATGTGTTCATCCTGTGCTCCTTTTTTCCCTACTGATCCCATTTCAAGGGCATCTCTGGAGAGTCTCTTTCCTACCAGCACCCAAAAGGCACTCCTTGCCTGCAAAGGGCGGTGGGCCTGACCGCCCAGTCAACCGTGCTTCCACCCCTACTCTTAGGTTTCCAATTAACAGGCGTTCACGGTCGGCTTTATGACATCAGATCCACTCCAGATGAGGAGGAAGGGAAGTGGTCCCCTCAGAAGCCGCTGTAAACAAGAGCAGATTAGCACTTGGATCCTGTTATGGAAAGTTCGCGAGTGCACGGCAGTCCTGTCGAAAGCCAGAGCGAGGCTCGGGCTGAGCAGTTGGAACAGGAGCAGGTGGGCAGAGTGGCTGGTGGGGGTGTCTTGCTGTTGAGGGGATTGATGAGGGACAGGGCATAGGGTACTAAGGCTCAACACTGTCCCCTGAGGGGCTCGGACAGTCACTCTGCACCTGTTATCTGAGCCAGTGGTTCCCAAGTTCTATTTGCCTGAGTGCCACTGCTGAGAGCTCTTAGGTACCCCCGAAATTCAGGCAACTCAGATCCAGAACTTCGAAGGCAGAACTTTTGCAATTTCTTGGGCACTCTAATGTCTTCTGGGGGATGTTCTTCTTTTGATCACTTCAAGCTGATCCTCTACTCATTTATTCAATTCATACTCATCAGATGCCTACCAAGTGCGAGACAACGAAGGCGTCAAGTCGATTAAACAGAGCTTCACCCTTTCCCAAGATGTACTTATAGTTTACCACCTTTAAGTCTGCTTCTGTAAGATCAGTTTATTGACCATCAGGAATATGGGGAAAGGGCTCTAACACCTTAAATAACAAGTTAATAAGACCATATACTCAACGTTAGGGAGGACACCCTACCCTCCACCAGCCTCTACCCAAATTTCCATGTCTCCAGTTATTTCAAAACTCCAATAACTAGTGTGGTCTCACCTCCTTGCAAGTGGCTTCGTACGTCTTTGTTTTGGTCTGCTTTAATTTTTTTTATTTTTATTTATTTATTTTTTTGGAGAGTTTTTTTTTTTTTTTTTTTTTTTAGGTTTTTGCCATAGTGCATGTACATTCTCCAGAAGGGAACAGTGAGATAGAAAGTGAAAAATCATTCCCCGGGGAGATGGCCATGCCACAATCCCTTCTCCTCCATTCTCCTCCTGGGACGTGGGGCATGCATGCACACATGCCTAGCCTGATTTTTAAGCTACTCGGTCAGGGACACAAACCAAGGTCGGCCACGTGGGAGTTCAGCATATTAACCACCGTGCCACCTACTGGCCCACCCGAGTAATTCTCCACCCTACCTTCTGTCTCAAACTTGCTAGGAAACAAAAGCATTGATCTTCCCAGCCAGTGTTGGGCCCAGCACCCTGGTAACATGCGGCAGACTCACAGAACCTTCTATTTGCTGTCACACTGGCCACGGCGGTACTGAGCTAAGCATGGTGACTTCACCTAGGGTAGATGGGCTATTGAGAATCACTGACAGATTTAATGGCCATGAACACATTTCTCTAGGAAGGCTCATGAGTACATTAGTAACTGGGGAAGTAGTTTCAGCTTTTTCCCCTAAATCACTGCTATTAGTCACCTCTGCAAGCTACTATTTTATCAAGCGGATGTTCTTGCGTCTGGATGTTATATCTTGAGGTCTTTAATGTTGGTTGTGAGGATGTTTATAATGTAGGAAAGTCTGCCCTCTGCTGTAGGCTGAGGATAAGTAAGCCCTATATGAGTTTGTAAGATACGGTTAATAGCACATTGGGGGAAAAAAATATACATATATATGTATGTGGAAGTCTGTATATTGTGTTCTTTTTTGGTTCTGTCTCTAGATTGCTCATACTGTTAATGAGATGCAGGATTGATCTAAGTGTGTTAAGACCCCTAAACCACAGGTCGCCATCTTGGACAAGGGCTGGCTACTATGGAGACAGGAGAAAGGCGTGCAGGCCTTGAGCCAAGCAAGTTAAACGGGTGCTCAGGGGAATCTAGCAGAGACCAGCCAGAAGAGAGAGCTCTCGCGATGCTACAATGTTAGAACATGGCCATGTGTTCATCCTGTGCTCCTTTTTTCCCTACTGATCCCATTTCAAGGGCATCTCTGGAGAGTCTCTTTCCTACCAGCACCCAAAAGGCACTCCTTGCCTGCAAAGGGCGGTGGGCCTGACCGCCCAGTCAACCGTGCTTCCACCCCTACTCTTAGGTTTCCAATTAACAGGCGTTCACGGTCGGCTTTATGACATCAGATCCACTCCAGATGAGGAGGAAGGGAAGTGGTCCCCTCAGAAGCCGCTGTAAACAAGAGCAGATTAGCACTTGGATCCTGTTATGGAAAGTTCGCGAGTGCACGGCAGTCCTGGCGAAAGCCAGAGCGAGGCTCGGGCTGAGCAGTTGGAACAGGAGCAGGTGGGCAGAGTGGCTGGTGGGGGTGTCTTGCTGTTGAGGGGATTGATGAGGGACAGGGCATAGGGTACTAAGGCTCAACACTGTCCCCTGAGGGGCTCGGACAGTCACTCTGCACCTGTTATCTGAGCCAGTGGTTCCCAAGTTCTATTTGCCTGAGTGCCACTGCTGAGAGCTCTTAGGTACCCCCGAAATTCAGGCAACTCAGATCCAGAACTTCGAAGGCAGAACTTTTGCAATTTCTTGGGCACTCTAATGTCTTCTGGGGGATGTTCTTCTTTTGATCACTTCAAGCTGATCCTCTACTCATTTATTCAATTCATACTCATCAGATGCCTACCAAGTGCGAGACAACGAAGGCGTCAAGTCGATTAAACAGAGCTTCACCCTTTCCCAAGATGTACTTATAGTTTACCACCTTTAAGTCTGCTTCTGTAAGATCAGTTTATTGACCATCAGGAATATGGGGAAAGGGCTCTAACACCTTAAATAACAAGTTAATAAGACCATATACTCAACGTTAGGGAGGACACCCTACCCTCCACCAGCCTCTACCCAAATTTCCATGTCTCCAGTTATTTCAACCAAGAAATTTAAGAAGACCCCAAGGTCCAAAGCACCAAATATTCCTTTGTCCTCAGAAAGTGTCTACGTGTCTTTGTCTGAAGAGAAGCGCTTGGTGGCTCTGTCACTTGACACTGTCCATATCACACTGGGCCTGTGACCCTGAGCAAGGGACCTTCTTGCTTTAAGTTTCCTTGGGGCAAAACCATAGCACCTTCATCACAAAGGTAGGGTAAGAGGATTACATTTGATACTGTCTATAAAAAGGCAAGCACATTCCCAGACATAGAAATAAGTAGCTAGTGTGATTTCTGAGAGTTAGGTCCTTCTTGGGAAAATGGGTTCAGTGCATCGAACTGGCTAATACTCAGTGTTCTTGAATGAATGAGAACATTCAGGGATTTTGAAGGTCACTGTTCTGAAAACCACAGGCAGGCAGGAGGTGTCTGTGCAAGACGGTGTCAGACCGTGACAATCACAGGTCTCTTCCTGGTATGCATCTTACAAGTGGGGGCTTAAGAGTATCCTGGCAGAAACATTTACGCTTG